TGCTGTGGACTGCTGGCAGCTATATCTGGGGGAGCGCACACAGCGGCATGCGACTGGCAGCAGCAACAAGACCCACAGAAAAGCCCCGCTGTCTGCTGCTGCTGCTGCTGCTGCTGTTGCTGCTGCTGCTGCTGGGGCATGCGCAGCTTTCTTCTGCCTACGCAAGCAGCAGCAGCAATACGAGGATGATCTTCCTGAGCATAGCCGACATTTATAGTGGAGGCCCCCAGCTGTACAACAACAGCACAGACATCTTCGCCACCTATAGGGGGCTTCATGCTGTTGCTGCTGCTGCTGCTGCTGCTGCTGCTTTTGCTGCCTTTGGAGCCCGCAGCAGCAGGCGGAGACGCAGAAGGCAGACTCATCCCTAACACACCACCACCACCACCACCCCCAGCAGCAGCAGCAGCAGCAGCAGGAAGCAGCAGCAGCAGCAGCAGCAGCAGCAGCAGCCACGGCTAGACGGGTTCAGCGTACAAGAAGAAGATGCTGCTGGTTTTTCATATGCAAACGAAGAGAGGAGATATCGACGGGTTTAGAGAAAAAAGAAATAAAAGAAGTCAAAATAAAAAAATTAAACACCACTAATTTATTTACAAAACATTTAAAAGAATTATTTTTATTGCGGATTCAATAATAAAACAGAAAAAAGAAAAACCCTGCGGTGTACGTACAGCCACCTCCCTGTGAAGGAGTCAGCAGTGAACAGACATTTTATTTATTTTATTTTATTTAATTATATTATTAACTTAAAATTTATTTTTTTTCTCTTTCTTTCTCTCGTTTTGCTGTTCAATTGCGGTCGTGGGGCATGCAGAAACAGCCCCAAGCCATCGACTGCAAAATATTGTATGGATTTCCAGAAAAATAAATAAATAATTAAAATATAAATTAAAATATAAATATAAATATATTAAAATGAATTTATTCGGCTTTGAAACGCCTCTTATAGACTTCCCTACGCCGCCGTTCAGGTGTACATACACCTCAATTTCTTTATATTTAAACAGTCTCGTGTCTGTATACGAATACAGCTTTTATTTATATTATTATTTCGATATATAGCTGCCTATATATAGGGGGGTTAAGGAGAGAGCAGAGATAAATAAACAATTCTTAAGATACAAACTCTCAGCGGTACCGAACTTGTTTGAGGAGAAAGACGAAGAAAATATTTAAAAATAATTAATTAAATATTCAAAAACGTTTGAAAAACGAGGGGTCAGAAACAAACAACAAATAATAAAACAAAGAAGACAGATAATAAGACAGATAATTAATCTCTTTAAGCCTCCTTCCACCTTCGTTAGCTGTGGATTACCGTGAGCAGCAACAACAACAAAACAAACATAATTCAAAAGAGCTTTTAAAAGATAAAGGGGCTCATGTTCAGCTTCTATGCTTCCTGAAGACAGCGAGAAAAGAATCTGAAGTTGGTGTGAGGTTGGAGGCGGCTTCATCGCAGTTTCTGCGGTACATTTTGCTGCACTTACAGCCCCAAGGACCCCACAGAAGAAGCAGCAGCTGTTTTTTTTTGCATGCATGCATATAAATATGAATTTTTTTGTTGAATTACTTTGCCCTCAGCAGCAAATTTACAAGCGGGTTGAAGTGCGGAGAGCAACGCTTTCAGCCGTCTCTGTCTGTCAAGCAGCACACAGAGAAGTGCATGTAAACCGATAGAAAGAGATGAGGGGGTGAATGGGTGCAGAGGCCTCAAATATAAGAAGAAATATGAGGGGAGTAGAGGTCTGCTGCTGCTGGTGCATGCATTTGCTGCTGCTAGTGCATGCATTTGCTGCTGCTGCTGCACGCATTTGCTGCAGCAGTTAAGCTTCTTGCGAGTCTTTCAGGCATCGCTCATCAAAGACGCATCAACAACATCACTCGTCCCGCCAACCACTACGGAGATGCAAATTGTTGCCGCTGCTGCTGTTGCAGCACGCCATCCTGAGGCCCCTCCTACAGCTCGTGCTGCTGCAGCTCGTGTTGCTGCAGCTCGTGCTGCTGCAGCGCATCTGTCCGCCCGTTCATTCTCTTTTGGTGTTGTTGCTGCTGCTACTGGCTGTGGTGTTGCGGCTGTGATAGGTGATGCTTAAACTATGCCTGCTGTTTATATTGAGAATATATATATATATATATATATATATATTAATTTCTTATTCTAAATTAGGAGCAAATATTTGAAGACGATTTTCATCAATATCTTTCTATTATTTGCACTTGCTGCAACTCAGGCTGTGGCTCTGTCTTTTGCTTCGGGGTTGCTGCTGCTGCTGCTGCTGCTGCATGCATTTGCTGCTGCTGCTGCTGCATCGGTCTGCAGCAGGTCTTCGCTGCCTTCACTCTATTGCTTGCCAGTGTAGGGGGTGTGTATTTGTTTACGTATTCAAAGACAAAGAAAAATAATCCTACAGACAGGTGAGTGCATTGGAGGGGGCATCAGGGCGTTTATAGTAATCCTACAGACAGGTGAATGCCTTGGAGGGGGCATCAGGGCGTTTATAACGGAGGAATATCATCACCCTTAGAGCAAACTTAGCGCGAAAAGAACAGCCTTTATACGTTTTCTTCAGTGTATTAGACAGCAGAAAACTCGTATATAACACGGGGAGACTAGTAGGCTATGCAGAGAAGATTGAGAGAAAGTTATGAAGAAGACATTCATCTATTTATCTCCGCTGTCTCTGCTTTGCTGCATGCATACGAGGACTTGTGCTGCTTAAGAGGCCGACGGGGGAAGCATTAAGCAGGCGTTGCAATTAGACAGCGACTTCGTATTCTTTTTGCATTGGAAGCAAGTAATGGTTCTGCTGTCTCCTGAGGTAGTGCATGCGTTCGAACGGGGCTTTAATACCCCTTCGCATGCATGCGCCCCATGCATGCATTCTAAAGGGGGGCTTTAACAATAAACAATGAGAAGCTACTACATTCGTAGAGACAGCAATATTAAGGTCTTCGTAGAGGAAATAATATAATCATGACTACTTCTTATCAAACGCAGAACAAGACAAATCAAACCGACATTCAAAAAGACATAAGGAGAATGAGGCATCCTCGGGAAGAAGCCTCTACATATGTACATATATATATATATATATGTACGTATATAGTTGTATGTTTATCTGCATATATATATATATATACATATATATATATATATATGGATAAGCTGTAAGTAGGAGCTCCTGCTAGGACAGCGCCCGTGTGCGAAGAGAGAGAGAAAGAGAAAGAGATATTTATCGAGACAGCCGCACATAAAGAAGAAGTCTTTGCTTTATGATGAGTTGAGTAGGCTCTACTACTGGGTTATTAAAAATAAGAAATATATGTTAATCGCTTGAGGTAGCTGTCTTATCGGCCTCCTTCTTTGCATGCATACTTGTAAAGATAAAATAAAACTTTGAAAATTTTAATTATTTTTTTGTATTACCTCTCAGCAAAAAAAGAAAATCTCCCAGGGCTTTAAAGAAGAAGCCTTTCTTTCGGGTCTTTTATTAAGCATAACTCTGAAATAAATACAAATAAACAAATAAACAAATAAATAAATAAATAAATAAATTTATATTTATTAATTAAATGAATATATTTAAAGTATTTTTTAATTGGATTGATTGCGCTGTGGTGGTTCCAATAACATTCGCCTTGAGGCAAACTATTATAATTATAATTATGATTATAATAATAATTATAATTATAATTATTAATTATTATTATTAATTATTGTTATTAATTATTATAATTATTATTTATTATTATTATTGTTACTTTTATTATTATTTTTGTAATTATTATGAATTACTTTTATTACTATTATTAATATTTATTATTATTAGCACCATCATTGCTATTATGTTTTGTTACTATTAAATTATTATTTATTATTATTATTACTAAATATTATTATTATTATTATTATTACTATTACTATCATTCTAATTATTATTTATAATACAATTTGCATTTTCTTTGAGGCTCTGCAGACATCGCCCGTCGATTCCTCCTGAAGATATATTTGTTTTTTTGTTTTTAATAAAATAAATGAATTAAAAATAATAAAAAGGTTTAAATAATAATTATAAAAATTATTAAAAGTATAAAATTGTAAGACAGGAGGTGATGTCTTAGCGCCGCTGTACAGACAGCCCAGCCCCGTTTGCATGCATTTGTTTGCAGCGCATTAATGAGAAAAAACAAACCTTAAATAATTAAATTAAATAATTAAATAATTAATTAATTTAAACAAATAAAATAACGCCTTTTGAAGACCTTTTACCCGGTGTATATACACCGCAGATATTCTGCTAGCATCGCTGCTATGAAAGAGAGTATAATATAATATTTGTCTAAAACAAATAATTAAACATTTATATTAAATACGCTGACTGTTTATTTTTAATAAATATATTTAGAGATATTTCTGCAGGAAACAACCCCATAGTAATCGCATGACCCCCTCAAACCCTAAACCCTAAACCCTAAACCCTAAACCCTAAAACCCTAAACCCTAAACCCTAAACCCTAGGGCGCAAGGGAGATGGAGCTTGAGGACCTGCGAGACAAGGCGCTGCAGCAGCATACATCGAGACAAGATAAGATACGTTTAGAGAGATTTATCAAAGAAAATAAAACAGCAGCAGAATGGAAGGATAACTGGGCCTTTCTTTTGGAGACATACGATGATGAAAAATGTGGAAACCCTAAACCCTAAACCCTAAACCCTAAACCCTAAACCCTAGCCCAATCCCCGCAACCCCAAGCCTTAAACTCGAAAACAAAAACCCTAAAGGAGTAAACCCTAAACCACAGTCTGTACGCCAAGCTGCTGCTACAAAACCCTAAACCCTATGGTGTCTACTTTCGTTTATGATGAATAGAAACCACTGCAACAAACCCTAAACCCTAAACCCTGTTTGATTTGTTTCAGCTTCTGCTTCTGAGGGTTTAACAAGCAAGAGGAGAGCTTCAAATACCGACCGAATTCATTGCTCTCTGCAGGC